CTCAAGCGCTACGGCTTCTACAATAACAGCGTCATCATCTTCTCCAGCGACAACGGCGGCCAGACCTTCTCAGGGGGCAGCAACTGGCCGCTCCGCGGACGCAAGGGCACTTACTGGGAAGGCGGCGTGCGCGGCCTCGGCTTCGTCCACAGCCCCCTGCTCAAGCGGAAGCGAAGGACGAGCCGCGCCCTGGTGCACATCACCGACTGGTACCCCACCCTGGTGGGGCTGGCGGGTGGCACCACGTCGGCGGCCGACGGGCTGGATGGCTACGACGTGTGGCCGGCCATCAGCGAGGGCCGGGCCTCCCCGCGGACGGAGATCCTGCACAACATTGACCCGCTCTACAACCACGCCCCGCGAGGCTCGCTGGAGGGCGGCTTCGGCATCTGGAACACAGCCGTGCAGGCCGCCATCCGCGTGGGAGAGTGGAAGCTGCTGACCGGGGACCCCGGCTACGGAGACTGGATCCCGCCGCAGACCCTCGCCACCTTCCCCGGCAGCTGGTGGAACTTGGAGCGGATGGCCAGCGCCCGCCAGGCCGTGTGGCTCTTCAACATCAGCGCTGACCCCTACGAGCGGGACGATCTGGCAGAGCGGAGGCCGGACGTGGTCCGCGCCCTGCTGGCCCGCCTGGCGGACTATAACCGCACGGCAGTCCCCGTGCGCTACCCGGCAGCGAATCCCCGGGCCCACCCGGACTTCAATGGGGGAGCCTGGGGTCCCTGGGCCAGTGAGGAAGAGGAGGAGGAGGAGGACCCGGAGGAGCAGGAAGAGGACGGCAGGGCTCGGGGCTTCTCCTGGGGTCGCCGCAAGAAGAAATGCAAGATTTGCAAGCTGCGATCCTTTTTCAGGAAACTCAACACCAGGCTGATGTCGCACCGGATCTGATGAGCGTCCTGGACCATCTACCTCCACACATGAGGGCTCTTGGACGGGGCGGGGGACTCAGACGGCTTGTGGTAGAGAGGAGAAGACGTTGTCCCTGTGACCCAGTCAGCCTGTACAAGCCCCCCAGCCTCTGCTTCCTCGCTGTGAAGTGGGTGCTGAGGACTAGGTGACTCTGGGGTTCCTCACCCTGCCCTCCTTGACCTTCTGGCCCTGGAACCTTGCACTCTGTGCAATTGCTGAGTGGAGAAGGGCTCAGAGCTCCAGGCCTGTGGGTGGAGGACAGCCGCCCTTGAGGGCACTCCCTTGAGCAGGGAAGGGACCTTGCTGGGGCAGATTTGAGGCTGGACTGATGGTGGGAACTGTGGGAGAGAGTGCCCCGTCCCCCACCCCTGAACCCAAAGGAACTGGCTCCCTATGAGCTGTTGAAGGCCCCAGGGCTGTAGAAAGAGGTAGGGGATGAGCCCCGGAGTGAACAGGCTTCCCATGTTCGCCTTGGAGTCCCCCCTCCCCATCCTCTCTCTGAATGGGGTGCCAGCGCCAGCTCTGCTGAGGATGGGCTGAGGGCACGGCTGTGGAGGAGCCTGTGAGCCTGATTAAAATGCCAGAAGATGAAGACAGGGTGCTGTGCTGTCTGTGCCCATGAGTGGACGTGCGGGCATGTGCTTGCTGGGTGGGGGCGGTCCCGGCTGGCAGAGTGAGTAAGGGTGAACAGGCAGTCCAGCTAAGCGGTTGGGCTGGTTGGGCTCTCATCTAGTTCTGTCAGAATGAGGCTGGAGGCAAGCAGACCTGATGGTTCCCGGAAGAGCAGGGGATGGAGCAGGGCAGGAGCACTGTTTGGGGGTCAGGGGTCAGGCAGCATCATGATCTCCACTCTGCCTGTGACTGGTACAACTGTGGCTGGGCAGCTATGTGGCCAAGGGCAAACCCCTGGCCCTCTCTGGGCCTCAGTGTCCCCTGTGTGTAGCGGGTGATCGGAGCACTCTTGCACTTGGCCATCCCGGGCACCCTGGCATGTGTGCCTGTGTGCGTGGGCACGGGCTGGGTGGTGGGGGTTTAAACCCGCCTGCTGCATGGCTGCCTCCACTCCGCACACCGAGTCCCACAGCTCTCTCTCGGGTTCCAGGAGGCGCAGTGTGTGTAGGCGAAAGCCCTGCTGTGAATTTTGAAAATAGTTATTTTTGTCGCTGGCAAAGGCGCCTGTTAGGACTCGTCAGCATGTGGATGAGTGGGATGGGTGGGGTGGGTGCAGTGGGTGGTGGGGGGCAGGCTTGGGTTTGGGTTTCAGCTGCAGAGGGGGCTGAGCCTGGCAGTGTGGGTCCAGCCCCAGGATGCAGAGTGGAGGGCACCCTCCCTGCCCCCTGGGCAGGCCCCTGGGTCCTACTCTCTTAACACCTCCCTGACCTGGAACCCAGGATGCCATTGCCTGGGGCACAGGCCAGGGTCCTGTGCCCCAGCCTGCATAGGAGGGAGACTCTGAAGAAGGGTCCCACTGAATCCATGTCCCAGGCCCAGTGGGCCTCAGGGGATAGCCGACTGCTCGTGCTCAGTTCATTTCCCAGGGTGCCCTAGCTCCGCTGACTGCCAGGCAGCTGTATGCGTTGGCCCTGCCGAATGGCCCCTGGCTGCACCTGTGGAGGTTTCGTCTGTGTCTGCTAAGTGTTGGTTCTGCCCAAGGAGGCCTGGCCCCGCTGCCAGCTGCCGGCTGTAGATTCTCTTAATGGGGCTCCTGCCCTTTGGAGCCACGAGTGCTAGAAAGCCCATTCTGGTCCCTACCCAGGCGTACTTCCTGAGGATACCCTAAGAGAACCCAGCTGGGGCTGGGAGCAGGCACCTGGTCTTGGTAGTCTGGAAGGAGGCTGGGTACTCAGCCCAGGCCCAGCCCTCTCCACGCTCAGAGCCCGCACCTCCCTGGACCCCGACTCAGGCTGCAGCTAGGAGCTTACTCCAGGCCCCGGCATTGCCACACCTGCTAATAGGCCAGAACTCAAAGGTGTTGAGGGCCCAAGATGGTGGGAGGCCTTAAGATAAGGGAAGAGCTTTTCATTGGGGAGAGAGGTGCACCCCCTGGGATGTCTGCTATCACTGGCTATCAGCACAGCTCCCAGCTGCTCCTTCCTACCTCCTGTGTTCCAAACACACACACACACACACACACACACACACACACACACACACACACACACAGCCAGGGGCTGTGTCCAGGCTCCATACCCCTGTGCCAGCTGGGTGCTTGTGCTACTGGAGCCCCTGTGGTGGTGGTGGGGGGGTTGGATGGGGGCAGAGCAGCCCTGGCTGCTGGGCTCTCAGATCTGAGAGATGGGTGCCAATAATGCTTGGTATGGCCCCGGCTGTCTGCTTGGCTCCAGGTAGAGCAGAGCTGCCAGCCAGGGGGGTCGATTTGGGGGGCAGCCCTGCCCAAGCTGGGCCTGCTTATGAATTCCTGAGCTGTGGTGGCCAGGAACAGGAGAGTGCCCGGAACTGCCAGAGGGCAGGGTTCTGAGCCCCACCCAAGTCCTGAGTGTCCTTTCTGCCTGTCACTTGGGGCGCTCTGGCCCCTTGTACATAGAGGCTCAGGCTGATGGGTGCAGGAAGAGGCGAGCAGAGTGGAGGAGGGACGGGACATGGCTCTGGGAGTCCGGAATTCGGGACTGGCATCTCAACGCTGCCTCTGATTTATCCAACTGCACCTAGACCCTGTCCCCTCTCTGGGCCTCACCACTCTGACTTACCCTAAGGGGCTCCCTTGGGGCCCTCCCAGCACTAATGGAGGCCAAATGACATGTGGGGGTGGTATGGAGTCACACAGACCTGCATGTCAGCCAGCTGGATGGCCTTGGTTGGGTCATTCCTGTCACATGTCTGCAAAATGGGCAGGAAGTAGTCCCATCTAAATGGACATATGCGGCGAGGTTTGAGCCGGTGCAGTGTGTGGAACGCTTGGCACAGGACTGCTTTCCAGTGGGAATAATGATTTTTCATGTCCTTGCAGGCAGCGAGCAGACATTTTATTCTCATGTTTCTCAGGGAGATGTGGAGGCTCCAGTGGGGAAAAGAGCTGCTACCAGGCTCACAGCCAACGGCGGTCCTTGAACTTGTGGCCTCTGGCTCTCTCGCCACAAGCCCTCAGCCCCTTCAATCCTGCAAGGGTGTGCTTCTGCTCAGAGATACCTCCCTGCCCCCTGCCTTCTTGACCTCTTTCTGAGTTCCGGCCCCCTGGTGCTTTTTCTGCTGGCCCTTTGAGCCCCACTCTTTCTGTGGTGTCTGCCAGCCCCGGGCAATCCTGGGCACCTGACCATGTGCCTGTGAGCACGAGTGTGGGGGGCAAAAGTGGGGTTTGAGGTTGCTGTCTCGATGCCACTGGAGCTGCAAGCACCTACCTGCTCCTTCGCCTCATGTGCCCTCCCCCCATCCCTTTACATGGAGCATGGCCTGCAGCCACGTGCTGTCCCTGTGCTGGCATGTTAGAGCCGTGTTCATGTTCTTCCGGGCTTCCACCCCGGCCCACTGTTCCGTGGCACGCAGGTCTGCCCTTGAGTCCACACGTGTGTTCCAGATGGGACACGTGACCTGGTTGGCATGCAGCCCTGGCCCCCGGAGCAGGGAGTCTGCCTGGAACAATCCCTTTGATGCAATCATCCTCTCATTCTCTCAGCGCCGTAGACACAGCTGACTCCGTGCTGCCCAACACCACCAGCCACAGCTGCCAGCCCTGTGGGCACAGGGACACAGTGCATTGTCAGCCGTTACATGCAGAGTCCGGGTGTAGGGAGAGTCTGCTGGTCCAGTGCTGCCCTCCTGCTCCATGCGGAGGCAGTGCCTGCACCCTGAGCCAGCTCTCCACAGGTGTGTGTGTGTGTGTGTGTGTGTGTTGCCAATCAAGCCCCCCCCCCACCTCCCCAGCAGAGTCCCGCAGCCTGGTCCCAACCATCGGCTGGGACATGGCCAGAAAGGAGTTACAGGGGCCAAGAGCCGTGGGAGCGAATGGAATAAGAAGGGTAATAAGGAGAACTTAGAACGCAGGGACAAGCAAGGGCGGGAGGCAGGGCGAGTAAGAAAGAGACGGAGAGAGAGAGAGGAGAGTTGAAAGGAAGAGAGGGGGGAGAGTGTAGGATGGCCAAGCAGGGGACAGCTTAAATGGGCTGAGGTGGCCCTTCCCTCTCCAGGAACCTCCACCACCTCTACCTCCACCACCTCTGTGGGATGTGCCATGTCATCAGTGCCTACAGTGGGGGGCAGGCAGATGGGTGGGACTGTACCCAGCTCACTAGGACAGTCACCTCGTTGGTTCAGAATACAATACTTCTATTAATGCAGCCTCGCAGCACATTTGCTTTGGATCACTCTGTAAGCTGCAGTATCCTCCTCTGGGGACTTGATGAGACACAGGTCCTCGGGACCAGTGCTTCGGTCTACAGAGGCTGTTGCACATCAGGCCTGGGGCCCAGGGTTCCCAGAACCTCGCCAGTCTATGGGGGCTCAGAGCACAGGGCTGCAGGGCAGTGGTGTGCTGGCCCGTGATTCATAGAGAGGGGTGTGCAGGAGGGCTGTTTGAATCTCAGGACCGATCCTTGTCCAGCTGCTGAGCATTTACAATGTGCCAGCCACTGTGGCTCTCCCACCCAAGTCACGGAGCAGCTCTGGAAAGGACGTGGGGGGTATCATTCACCCTATTTTGCTGAGGAAGAAACTGAGGTCCGGAGAAGTGTACTCATCCCAAATCACACAATAGGTTGAGATTCACATCCTGGTCTGAAACCCCATCTCCCACCACCCCCTGCTCCACCCCCCACCCCCAAGCCAAGCCTGGGTCCTAACCACTACACAACACTGCCTCTCCCTTGGACAATGTTGGGGTCACCTCAGAGAGCACTGAGGGTGGTCTCAGCCCTTTCAGAAGTGGAAGCCATGCGCTCCAGGGGACAGGCTCCAGGGTCTGGGGCACGGCCAGCTGGCACCCAGCCCCTCCCCCACCTCCGCAGCCATGCCTCCTCTGGCCCTGCCAAGGGCGGAGTTCCGCATGTGTGCCCTGCTGCTGCCCGCCAGCAGTGCGGACCCAGCACGAGCCTCGCTTCTCTGCCTCTGAATTGCGACGTTGGCGGCAGAAGCAGGCGGCCTGTTGTGCAGAGACAAACCTGAGTGGTTTTTCCTTTTTCTGAAGGTGGTGATGGTGCAATTAGTGGCTAAGCCATTATGCCCTCCCCTCCCTCCCCTCTCCGGGGAAGAGGTGCCTGCATTACAGAGTTCACCCCTGACTCCCAGGAGGAGGGCATCCGGCTGCCTCCAGGAGCCCCTGGACCTGGGGTAGTGAGTCAGGGCTTTGATGGGGTTGGTGATGTGTTCAGGAGGAGGTGACAAGTAAGGGGTGAGAAGGCCCAGAGTGGACTAAAAGCTCTGAAGGCTTCAGTCCCTGGTTCAATTCCCACCTCCCCACCTCTATTCCCTGGGGGCAAAAGCTAACAAGCTACCTCAGCCCCAGGAGCTGTGAGTGTGTGTGTGTGTGTGTGTGTGTGTGTGTGTGTG